TGTTCAAGGCCAGGTTGGACGGAGCCTTGAGTACCCTGATCTAGTTAAGAGGCGTCCCTGCCCATTACAGGGAGGTTGGATTAGATGATCTCTAGGTCCCTTCCAGCCTATGCCGTTCTATGATTCTATGATATACTATGTCATTGGGCTTTGTGGCTTGTATCTTTTCTCAGTTTTAGGTGTACTTGTAGGAGTTTTACCACTTTCACCGCTTAGCCGCTATAATAGAAAAGGGAAAGAAACTAACCAGCTTTGAAGGTGCTGTTCAAGTAACTTTGTGTTGAAATTGTGCATATGTGCCCCAAGAACTGGTTCTGCAGTTACAATGGGAAATGCTCTAATCTATCTACAAACATTTGTTGGAGGGATTCTATTAAAATTGATCAATCTGAGCTAGAGTGTCTCAAGAAATTAGTTCTCCAAACTTGACTAAAGGTCCTCCACTGAGCAATGAAAGCTGTTGTCCTAAGCTGTCATGAGTCCAACTGTCTTGAAGAGGACTGTCTTGAAGAGGTGATCTTCTGAATAATCCTTTGTCACCGATAATCCTCTGACATTTACTAGTAGTGAGTTCTATTTTCTCATATTAGTTGAGTGCATTGCTTTGAATGAACTTGAAAGAACATGGTAATTGTACTGCAGGTATTATCAGTAAATGTGTGTATGTATCAATATATATGTATGCCCATATGTTTAAACACATCAGTGAAACAAAAAGAACAGTGGTCTTAAATATTGTAACTTTTCAGGTTAAGAAATCAAATTTGTAGTAGTGTTCTTCTAGGAGACTGAGATTAAAGCTGGTAGAGATCTGAAGCAGTTTATTTCACGTTTTGCCTGTGAATATAGCTAGACTAGTTTACATGTTTTCTTGGTAATTCAATGAAGTATTTAAAATAAGAGTGGAGGGTTTGGTTTTTTTCAGCTCTGACTAAAAATGTTTCACAGCAAGTTAAATCCTTACTACAGGGAAGACTAGACAAAATAATCTCTGATGCTTGAATTTATGCATTTAATAGAAGGTTTATTAATGGCATATGGTAGATTATATAGAAAAAGTGATCATGCTGGTATGATTAAAAGATACTCATTCTGGGTTTTAGACACCCAGACAAGTATGGGGTAAAAAAATTCAAGGTACATATTTCCAAAAATGTCTGAAAGGCAGGTGGCAGGATTTACTTTTCTGAAATTGCAAATACTTGCACATCAGAGATGCATTCAATTTAGGATTAAGAACCTGCACCTGTTTCTCATTTTTTGAGGGGCTGAGAGCCATTTACTCCTGCTCCCAGTGCACAGATGGAATACCTAGTCTCTGTGTGAGTAAATTGGCTGTGGTTTTATCGATAGAAAATTATAGGATTTCCTTTTGTTTCAATACTGTTTATATTAAAATAGTTTCAGAATTCTTTGATTTCTTGAATAAATGAAAGAAATAATGGCTGACACTTGATTATGTTCCTGAAGTAAAATATTTTGGGTAAATTTTTCATCTGAATTTTACTAGCAGGCATTAAAACCCCTCTCCCTTTATTTGAACGAAAGATATGAGCTTTTGCAGTTTTCTTGGAGCTATTGCCAAAGACCAGTGATCTGAATAATGAAAGGAAAATAATTGCTTGCTGCTTCTGAAAGACAGTAATGTTCATGTTTTTTCCTTAAAATCTGGAATAGGAAACCTTTAAATATTGTCAAGTTGCTTCTCTGTGTAACGCAGCCACGATACATTGAGGAGTTGTGCTCTACATTTGTGGATGACATTCTTTGTAATAAAACACCTTAAGTGAAGTGTAGCTCTTTTGTTTCCTATAGAATTTAAAATATTCTTAATGGGATGTTATTTAAGGATGGGAGTTGAATGGTGCTACAGAAGTAATGTGATTTAATTCATTAGTCAGTTCTTTTGTATATGGACAAGAACTATATCTTACTGAGTATAAATACTTCCATCTTGCTGAAATAACATTTGGAAACAAAATACTAAATCTAGACAAAATTGCTGCATTGTAACTGCTGAAAATCTGCCCTGTCATTACTATCTTCATCTAACTGCCTTATTACTCTACATACACATAGTGCACTTACAGTACCTTGATTCACGAAAGTATAAAACATATGTAACTTGATAAAACAAGAGTTTGTTTTGTCTGAATATAAAAAAAATGTAGTCTGGTGAAATATAATGATAATATGTCAGTTCCTAAGGTCTTTTGTTATGGATAGATTTGTCATGTGACTAATTAAAGTTGTGAAACATGTTTATATCAATGGAAAGGTAAACAAAGTTTCTGAAAATATTTTTACATCAGTACGTTCTTTAGTTGGCAGATGATTTAAATTTAATGAGGATGAGCATTACTAGAAATGAATTGTATGCATAAGAGAGCATTTTGCTTGCAGGCATAAAATTGAGGAATTCCACTGTATAGAAAGAATAAATAAAGATTTTTGTAATGTTCCGTTGATGGATGAGAATGATGATTTATTCTGAGCTTTGGTGTTGGATCGTCTCTTAGATCTGTATTGTTTCTGACACAGTTCTTGCACTCTTCTTTCATGGTATATGAGGAGTTCTTAAAGTATTTCCAACTTTTTAAGGGGTCTAGACTGAGAGCAGCGTTGGTTTAGCATGGTTTTGATTGTACAACTGTTATTCAAAATTATCTTAACATTTAAATTTAAATCTTATCCAAAAAGAAGACATCTTCAGTTAAGCAGAAGTTCAAAAGGATCTACTGAACTCTAGGGAAGACTCTCACAAAGTCTTGTACAAGTTCTTAAAGACTCCAAAAGCTGACTAAGAATATGGTTAACTATTGTGTTGTCTAGCAATCTAGGAGTCTTCAACACAAAACAAGGCAAAAAAGGGCATCCCAAAGCACTTTTGGTTGTGCTAGAAGGCAATTGACTACAGGTAGATGCAAAAATATGCAAGGAAAATAGATGTTTTGCACAGAAGTCATGATTTAACAATACTTCAGCACAGGAATCTTCTTCTCAGGAATTAAAAAGAAAGTAATTTCTATGGGAAGCTCATTCTATGTATGGCAGATAATCCAAAGGTTCTTGATACAAAAAGCTAATATAGCCTCTGGTTTTAGTTTATTTAACTAATGAGAAGTTGGAGTTGACCTTTCCTACTGATTGTGAGGTTATAGGGTGGCAGTAAAGGGCTATGAAACAACCTAAGTTTGATGCATAAAAAAAGGAGCAGCCAATGAAAAGATAAGGGAAAATTAGTAGCCTGGTTAGTGTTCGTAAGGATTCCGAGTATCTGAGAGCAAAACTGCATTTGTTAAAACTAGAGTAATGTTGAAAAAAAATCAAAGGGTAAGATGGAACTAGAATAGGGAAGATTTTTTCAGTAGTATGGAGAAGGAAGAATTTTCCTTGTGTGTCTATATTGCATTCATAGTTTAGTGGTGGATTAATTTAGTGTCTCCGACTTTGCACTGGAATTATGTAGAAGTCCTCTTTAGCAGAATAAGAAGGAGTTAAATTTGTACTTCCTTATTAACTCTAAGCAGTTTGCTGTCACCTTTCAGTCCTGAAATTTTGCTATTTCCTTACTTCCAAAATGTCATCTCAGCAGTTTTGTCCACTGCCAGCCAGACTTTACGGTGCCAGGGAGACCTCACTGTTGTGTGTAGAGGAGGGCTACCCTTCGTCCCTTTAGAGCTAATGTTGGAAAACAGAAAAGATTAAAGAGTTTAGCTATGTAAGTAACTTGTTAGCAGGACCGTAGTTGTACAGTAGTGCCAGGCTAGTGAATAATGGAGCACAGAGCATCTAAATGTAAGGATAAGGAACCTGGAAGACTTATAGTCAGAATACAAGATTATGGAAAGAGGTTCAAGCTACAGGTAGCATTTAAGTTAAAGACTTGAGTGACAGGATGAGATTTTTAGTTTGGGTGGAAGGAGATGATTCTAGATGAAGCTGTTTGATCTGTGAAGGTGGTAATTGAATTTGAAGGTTAAGACGTGAAAGAAAACCACTGAAAACCTTGAGGAACCTGCATGGAAAACAGAGCAGAGAATGAGGACAATCTACGTAGAAGAAATACTGAAAGAGTGATTTGATAAAGCAAGAAGTGCATATCCTGGAAACTGATGAAAGATAAGATTTCATGAAGAAGTAAACTGTGTTTAACAGTGGAAAGGGTCAAGGAGGTTGAATACAGAATACCGGTTCTGCCGTGTATTTAAGAAGTTATTAAAAATTTGGCAAGAATGCTTTTCGTTGTTGAAGAGAGTTTTTTAAACAATGAAATGGACAGAGGGAAACTTCAGGGAGCAGTTGTAAATAGTGCTTCCTTTGAGCTCGGCTATAAAAAGACAAGAAGTACAGTAATAGTCCTACAGAGGCATGAGGCACTAATGTTCTAGTATCGTTTTATTTTTCTATACCTTAGGATATACGCACCTGCAATAAAAAAAATATATAGGCTAATAAAGTTGCTCTATTCAGTTTTAGGGCTAATTCTTTTGATTAGTAACATAATCTGTGTTTGAATGGAAGAACAGGCATAAGATTACATAAAAATTAGTTGTTCCCTATGTACCTAATAAAAAGATTTTAATGGGTACACAGACAGTTACCATAGGGATTTTTGGTAAATTGTAACTTAAATAAGTTAAGAATTTAAGTTCACCCTTAAAAATACATTTTAAATGCCCCTAAATATCTTGATTGTGCTTGCAGCTGTTAATAGTGATTCTTTAGTAGCTGGATGGGCAATCGGTGTATTTTTATTGTAAGGTATTTTCAAAATTCCTTGGAAAAATAATAGCTTTAAGAAAATAAGATTTGCCAAGAGTTGATGTTAAATATCCATTGTTTCCTGGTTATGTTTTGCATATTTATTTGTTGTGGTATGTACTTGTTGTTCTAACACTGTTTTAATGCTCTGTATGTAAAATTCATGTGCAGTAATACAAAACCTGAAGGAGGAAGCTTGGTTGCCAAAAGGTAATTTGACAAATATGTTTTTGCAGGTACCTTTTGATATATAATCCTACAGAACAAGAGCGATTTGCAGTGGTTTCAGTCAATGTGAATTCACCCAGAGTTAAATTATTATCTCCTTCGGGAAAACCTGTTACTGTCCAGATTAGTGCTGTTTGGGATGGAGCAACTACAATATCACATGAAGCATATCAGGTATGCTACTTTAAGTAAAAAACATTTTTTTTTTTTGACAGATTTGTAGCTTCACAGTTGAAGAAAATGAAGAGCATACTTCAAATATTGGCAGTTCTGTCTTCTGCAGATAATGCCATTAATTCAGTCATTTTAAACAAAAAACGAAACATATATATTTAGCATTAATGTTTCTTAAACTGGTAAGTTTTTAAACTTTTGTGATGTGGTGTATTACATTTAAAGGGCCAGTTTCAGCTGCGTGAACAGAAAATACTGAATGTGTATCTTTTCTCCCAGCTTTCTAAAGCTGCTTTTTCCTTCAAGTGGTAGTATAGACACACAGTCTGTATGTGCTCAAGCACTCCAACTGCAAGGTTTTGTAAGTGCAGTGGCTTAAGCACTTAGATACTGTGTTTTGGTTTGGTTTGGTTTTTTTTGTCTTCTAGATATAGAGGCAGGATAATACTCTCCGTAAGTCTGCCCAAGCTAAACAGATGACTTAGGAGTCCACCTCTTGTTTTTGGTTTAAGTTTCTGAGAATTTTAGAATGATACATCATTATAGAAGATTGTCGTCAATGGTCATTCATCAGAAACTATTTTGTTAAATCGTTAGCGATGTAACAGTACTATATTACTGTAATAGTACTGTATTAATTTCAGGCTTACATTCTTAGTCTGATTCCTTTTGACTCCTTTTGGGAGTCAAGCTGAACTTGTTTCAGAATAATATTCCTGTGAAGATAATTTAATAAGTGTGTTTTAGTGGTCCTCCAAAGGGATAGTTATTAATAATTGTGGGTTAACCCTGGGAAGTAGCTCAGCCCCACCTAGCTGCTTGCTCACTGCCCACAGTGGGATGGGGGAGAGAGTTGGAAAGGTAACAGTGAGAAAACTTATGAGTTGAGATAAAGATGGTCTAATAAGTAAAGCAAAAGCTGTGCATGTGGGCAAAGCAAAATAGGACTTCATTCACCCCTTCCCATCGGCAGGCAGCTTGGGAAGACAAACTTGGGAAGACAAACGCTATCACTCCAAACGTGTCCCCCTCGTTCCTTCTTCTTCCCCTCAATTTATGTGCTGAGTGTGATGTCATATGACATGGAATATCCCTCTGGTCAGTCGGAGTCAGCTGTCCCAGCTGTGTCCCCTCTCAGCTTCTTGTGCTCCCCCAGCCTGCTCGGGAGGAGCAGGGGAGCGTGTGAAGCAGAAAACTCCCTGATGCTGCATAAGCAGTGCTCAGCCGTAGCTTAAAACATCCTTGTATTGTTAACATTGTTACTATCAAAACATAGCACTATATGAGCTGCAGTGAAGAAATTTAACTCTATCTCAGCCAAAACCAATACAAGAATTAACAATTAATTAATTGCCTGAAGAGGAAAAAGAAATTAAATGATGTATCTGTACCTCAAATTCTAAGCAAGTGGCTTTGGAGATCTACCTTGTATATTACTCTCCTGTACAGATCACTTTGTAGCTCCTAAATAACCAGAGACTAAAAATGAAATAATTGCCTTATTTTGCTAATTAAATTTGTGGATTTCTAAATGCACTTTGAGTGACAAGTAAGGTCTGTGCATACTTGATACACTACACACACATCTTTAGTGCAGAGCAAATATGCTCAGAACTGCACATCAGAGCCAGCATTCTTTTTTAACTAGATTCAAAATCATTATTGCATTAATATAACAGTGATCTTGATGCTAAGCAGATTAGCAACGCAGACATTTTTTTTTGCTGATTCTTCTTAACATGTTTCAGCTATTAATTTTGGAACGTCATTTGTAATTTCATATTCATTTATGGAATATGGGAAAAATTCATCTATCCTAAAATTATTGAAGCAAAAGGAATTACTCTGAGCATAAAGATAATAAAAAAGTTAATAATTGTATGTTTTTAATAGTGATTTCTCCTTTGTTCCCAACAGATCACTTTTATGGCGCATCTACTACCTCTGGGGCTTGGAGTTTACCAGCTTTTGGAGGTTCAGAGTTCAGAAGCAGTTTTAACAGACTATAATATATACATGAGGAATAGTAGGCAGGAGAAGCGAGACAGACTTTTCAAGATAAAAGAGATGCAGAATTCTGTGGATAATATAATCTTAGAAAATTCTTACATGAAACTGTGGTTTTCTGGAATGTCTGGATTACTGGAGGTGTGTTTCATTGTATTTCAAAACACTGTTTTACTTTTTTAAGAACTTCTGTTCTTATTCGTGGAAACCTAAATATGTCAACTGTTTCAAACATGATTTTCTGTCCTTAGAAAATAAATACCAAAGAAGATGGTAAAATTCATCAGATGAAGGTGGAGTTTGCTTGGTATGGAACTACAGGTAACCGGGATAAAAGTGGAGCTTATCTCTTCTTACCAGATGGAGACGCCAAGGTAAAACTTCTGTTTGCAGAGATTCTAATCTTGAAGTAACTTGAAGCATTCTGCAAATACAGATTGAAAGAACCAATTTTCCCCATCACTGAAATACAGCTGTGTGGCTAGAAATAATGACATCAGTTATTGAAATGATTGTCGGAACTTCATAACCCTAGATTTGAATAAAAGCACAGCATTAATTTGAAAGCATAAAAATATACAGAATATTTATCATTCACTAAAAAAGTTATTTAAGATGCTACCCTTGCAAGAAAACCAGTGAGATGTAAGATGTAACCATTCGCTATCAATATAGTAAGTTCACTTTCACTTCCTTCGGTGAAAATATATAGGGCATACTGATTCGTTCCTGCGTTCCTTCACTTTCCTGATTCTTAAGGTTTCTTGTTGTGAATGAGGAACTTCCAGTTCAGAGTGTAATTCTCTTTTAGCTGGTGTTAGCATATATAGTTTAATATAGTCATTAAGATACTGAGTCCCAAATGATGAATGTAAAGACAGAGTAGCAAGCAACCATTCTGATTTAACTGTCAAGGGTTATCAGTATTTTTAGCTACACAATTATTGGAGGGCAACAGCATAGTTTTCAAATTGGAAATTCAGAAATGACAGTGTTCTTACATTGACTTAATTATTATACAGAATGTACCGTACCACTTTTGGAACTGGAAAAGTGGTATTTCAGAAAGCAATGATGAAATCATGAAGACTTAAGAAGCTAGCTAGTTTGCAGCATATTTCTTCTGCCCAGTTTCTCCTGGGGAAACTTAAGTTGCATGCATAAGGCAAACTGGGAGTTCTATGTTTACCACTTCAGGGAATAATAAAATAATAATAATAGTAATAATAATAGGTTTTGTTTGTTTTTGTATGTGTAAATCAGTCTGGAAGTCGACAGAACAGTTTCCTTTACTTTTAGCGATCTCTCCTACCACACATTTTGAGGTGTGTTAGTTGGACGTTTTAAACCATTTAGTATATTTAGTCCCATAGTTGTTTGCATCAGTTATGTTCAACAGAGTTCACTTATTCTTAGTTTTTAAATGTCAGTGTTTTTTGATCTGTGAATACCTGAACAATATCACGTTTTTTTAAAATTGTTAGCTTTCATCAGGTGCATAGTCAACCTTTAACAAATTGTATTTTAGCTGCTACTTCATCTTTTGCTTATAGACACAATAATCACTAAATCTAACAGTTATATAATTTTAACTGCACTTTTGAATTATTTGCATTATAAAAATAACCTGGACAACTATAGATAGCAAAATGCTGTGGTTTGAACAGAAAAAGTCTGTCACATGCCTGCAAGCACAGTTAGAAAATAAGGTACATATTGAACTTTTATGAGAAATGAAATTAAAGTATATTTTCAGTTAACGTTAAAAAGGGTGGTGCGTTCACCTTTTGTAACTTTTTATACAATAAAAATGAAATCATAATACTTCAAAAAATTCTGCTTCATTAATATACCATAAAGCTCATTTGGCTTGCATTTTAGTAACATTAATTAGGTTTTCCCACTGGGAATAACAGTGTAATTCTATAGTAGTTCCTAAATCAGTTTGAACTAGTGATTTCTGTCTTAAAGAAGTGCCACCTGTTCAAGGTTCTCAGTGTGAGGTGGATTGACTAACATTTTCAAAGTCCTTGAGTGGAGTGGTGATAGGATAGATTGCAGGCAGTTTTCTTGATTTTTAGCTAGGTGGTTTTTTTCCTATCCCCCACACCCTATGTGTTACTGCAAAATTTGCAAAGAATACATTTGGTGTTGGGTCACTTTCTTCTGGTATGAGTATAGTTAAATGTTTCCTTTGCCCTTGTTAACTGTTGGTTTTTTTTTCACCTGGTCTTTTGGTTTCTTTCTTTTATGTTCTGCAATACTCAGACATTCTTTTTCTTCATCTAGTTTAATCGTCTGTCTTACTATAGTACTTAGGTAGCCTTCTTGTTCTTGGATTCCTCACCAGTTTAATTTTGGAAGCTTGGTGCTGTAACATGCTATGTTTGCAGGCCATGACTTAAAGCCATGTCAGTTTAGAATGCCTGACGTGTATAGCGCAGCGCTGGTCATGAACAGGCTGCTATGAGTGCATGTCATGTATTCTCCTGATGATGGTCTGTGTCCTAGGACATACACAGATCTGAATCTTCCAAGAGGTTCCTTGGACTAATCATCTTTATGGCTGACCTAAAACCATCCTGGAGTACTGCAAAGAGTTCATTCTTGCCAAGAAGTGGTTAAGCATCTACTACCAGCGCTAAGCTGCACATCAGCAGAGACCTGGGTTAATGATAGTGATTTACCAGTATTAAATGGAAGGTACATTGAACACTGATAATTCTTTGTCACTGTTCTGGAAAGAATAGCTGGACTTGAGGTTCTATGACACCATGGCAAACATTGCCATGGTGCAGCTAGACAGTAAGAATGGTCTCTGGGGTTGTGGCATAGGGTCTTAAACATGGATGATTCTGCCACTGCTGTCTCTAAAGTGTGAAAGTAGTTCAGTGGCAGCCTCAGGTCAGGACACCAGTGTGAAGTTCAGGACAGTAACACAGAGCAGAGGCTCCATGATGCAGCTCTAGAGATAAGACAGCACTTACAATGTGTTTGTGTTTTCTGCAAAATAGAACAAAAGCAAGGTACCAGAGAAAAAGACAGGCAGTATCTTTTTTTTTTTTTTTTAATTTCAGTGCTGCTTAACTGATTGACAATGTTATCAAGGTTTGGAAGGAAGGGACTTCATTGGTCTTCATAAGTATAAACAAAAACATCCCATCTGTGAAAGGAAAACATGTTTGTATCTCTTGTGATTTTGTGAAGAATGGCCAGCTCCATAAATCTGTTAGATCCAGGTGAAAAAAAAAATCACTATTAATAAACTCTGAAACAGCTGTATTTTCTTCTATGTATTCAAGACAAGTCAATATGTGATGACCTACTTACTAGCTGTGTTTGGTATCAATAGGGAATAGACAAAGCAGTTTTTTTCCAAAGAGTCAGATGATAAGTGTTAGTGAGATCAATGTGAGTGGTTCATTTTCTTGTTTTACAAATCAATTTTTCAGAATCAAAGTGGACTTTTTTGGTAGACTCAGACTGGGAAATTGTGATTCTCCCTCAGGCAGCTTTGTCTATACACACGTATATGTACTAGTTGCTGTAGGTACTTATGTACTAACAGAATGTATAAAGAAGAGAGATTTATTTTTTTCATCCTGCAGAATCTCTAGTGCTGGAGCTTTTCTCCCTTTTTTCTTTTTAACGCTTTGGTCTCCATGGTTGGACTTCCCTTACTGATAATGATCTCTGACTGTATAGCTGCAGCTGCTGCTACTAGCCTCAAGAGCCCTTTTTCATGACAAGTCCTTTTTTAATCTGTCAGGATTATTTGTTGCCTCTAACTTCTCAGAGAACAACACATATCTGAGTTATCTAAATGCTTGGCCTACAAACCTAAGGAAAAGATAATGATATCTTTCTGCATTTTTATAAGTGAGATTGGGATGTTCTACTGCTCAAAAGGAGAAAGACTATCCATTTAGAGTACCCACTGTATCCGTGTTCAGATCTTCCTCTCAAAAGGGCCAAGGATCCTCATTTCAGCATAGTATCCTTACTTTTAATGCTCTCCCTGTTTTTGCATGCCTGATAATAGGAAAAGACAAGTACACAGGAACCATTACTTGGAGGATGCTCACAGTGCTCAAACATTGTCTGCGTTTGAAATGTCTCATCTCTCCTCAGTACTATGTATTTTCCTCAAGCATCATATCTATCATCTGAAAATCTGCCCCACATCTTGATGGGGTTGCTTTTGGAGGCAAAAATATTAAAATAACAACCATCTTGTCTTCTGCCACATAATTCTTAAAACACAGTTCTCAAGAGCTCAAAGTATTTGATTTTTAATTTATTCCCTCCCACTCCCGCACCTAAAGCCCAGTCTAAACTTAAACCCTGCCAAATGAAGGGTGATGGGCTATTGAGAAGCAACTTTTCTTGAAGACTTTTTCTTGAGTTCTTTTTTTAAATCTCAGGCATATGAAGAGCAATTCAGTCTGTGCTGGAAAACTTTCCTTTGGTCATAGTTTATGTGACTTCCATTCCCAGCAGTATGCTGCACTGCCAGAAATTTCTAGGCCACACTAAGATGGTTAGTAGTGCTTCACTTGACTACAAGGGGAATGGTTTATTACCCATGTGTCATGCCTTCAGGCTGCAATATGCCATGCCAGCTTCCATACAAGCCAGTAAACATTTAAGTGAAGGCATCTCTCCAGTTATCTCCGCCCCATGGCACTTTGGCACCCAATTTGATACCACGTATTTTAAGATATCCTAAGGAGCTATAGGATATTATTTTGCTCCAAGTAGTCTTCTGTAAAATTTCTAGGTTTTCACAGGGAGGTTGTCATATTTCTGTTGAATCTGAGTAGTGATAAACAGCTTCTGGACCCTTTGACCCATAGTTCTGTTATCCTGTTTCTGAAAATACTGCTTTCCAGGCTCAATAAAACCTGGCACAGCAGGCTGGTGATTCTTGTAGTGGATCTCATTCCAGTGAAGCTGAGGGGAACAGATTTTAAACAGATTCATTTTAACTGTTTAGGAAGTGAAGTCTTGAGACTACTACTCGATATGAGACCCAAATATTTTTATTCCTAATTTAAGGTCTGAGTAATCATAGAATCTTTCACACCGTAAGGTTGTTTAGTCCAAGACCCCACTCAAAGCAGACTAAATATTGAATTCAGACAAGGATTTTGTCTAATCAGTTTTGCAAATAGCTCTATCATTGTTTGTTCATTCAACTTAGAAAGCAAAGTGGTTTGTGTCTGAGTAGTAAGAGGCCTATTTCTGCATCTTAGTCAGACATTCACATCAAAAGTGTCTTTATATTTCAGGTCCAGATGAGCCTCTGTGAGACTTTACATTGATAATAGAATAATTGCACATCTAATGCATAAAGATGTTTTCTAGCTTAAAAACCTGATTCATTGAAATGTTTTTAGTGTGGCAAACCTGGTCAGTTTTCTCTTTATAGGTTCTGAACTCAGTACGTCTCTAGATGACTATCAAGAAATCACTTTCTAGCACTACTGCTTTTCTAGGCACAAAAGATGAATCAGGAGGCTTCCCTGTTCTCTTAGCGTCATATTTTCTTCATCTTTCCTCTTTGCCCAACAGTCAGGAAGCAACAGGCATCCTTCAGAACTTGAGTACGCCCCCTGTCTCCACTCTTTGTATCGGAAAGAATTATCTAAGCTTCAAAACCATGGGACTGCATGTGCCTTTGTAACTCTTCTTGCTCATTTGTGTCTTTTCCCCACACTGTGTGAATTAGGGGCTTGCAAACTGGTTTTAATACATAATCTCTCAATGCACATGCTAGTCACAATCACAAATTATAATTAAAAAAAAAATTGTTAGTTTCAGACAATATCGGCAAAATAACACTTAATTTGTTTTCTTTCCTGTTACCCCATCTTTCTGTATAGTTAAGAATGGTAAGTATGGTTGCCTTTATCTTCAGCTGGGGAGCTGATGTGGCTACATGTGTGGCTTGGAGACTCTGGTGTGTGAACTTAGTGTTTGTGGCAATATCCCAGAATCCAAGAGCTGTTCCAGAATCCAAATGCATCTCCATACAGACTTTAAATGCATAAATGCGCCTCGACCTGTGCCCATGATTCACAATAGTCTCAGGCTCAGGCATCTCCTCTGAACAAAACACCTCCCCATCGACGTGGGTTGTCCCATGGACTATAGATGCGTACAGTACTCAGGCTCTGGCATCTCTTCTTCGACGTGGGTTTTCCACAGGCTGCAAGTGGGTCTGTGCTCCACCGAGGACCACCTTTTGCTACAGGGGGGCCACCTGCTGTCTCGCCACCACTTGCAAGGGAAACAGCTCCAGGACGCCTTGTCCCATTCCATCTTCACTGGCCGGGTGTCTGTGTGGCCGTTTCTCTCAGATCTCAGTTCTCTCTGGGTGA